TTCATCCGAGTGCGTGCCGGTTTTTTTGGGACGAACGTCGTGTCAGCCTCGTGAACTTTCTGGACAACGGTCCAATATATTTTTCCACCGGAGCCGGTCCCAGTGTGACTTCTTCAAGGAAGGTGCGCCCAAACTTCTGAGCCCCGCTTAGGCATCGCTGTTTTCTGCGATGCTGGGAAATCAGTCCACCAGACTTTCCACTAGAGGTATGACTACTTCAATGGACAATGAAATTCGGGGGGCTGCAAAAATATGAATGTAGATAAGGACGGATTTTGGTTTGAGCCCATATGCCACAAAACAAAACAATTTGGCGCAAAACCGTTTGCTCTAATCAAAAAGGTTTTGCAGCTAAGAGCACTGTACTGCTAATTCCCTTCATCACGAATGGTTGCTCCACTTTGAGTTGCGGGGACGTGGAGGGAGTAGCCGTTGTTCATATAGTTTTTAGATCACTTTCAAATCCATTGCGGAACACAACATGTGAAAAAGACAGGTTTTCCACAAAACCCCCTCGGTTTCACAGGGACATCGTGTGATGCCTTCGGTAACCATAAAATATGAGTTCCTTGACCATAAAGACCTCGAGTACGTTTAAAATACTACAAAACAGACTGCGATCGCATGGTGAGATTTTAACGGTTCGAATGAAGACCATCAAACGGTAGATCTTTATGTTAAAGATTCCTGAGTTCAACCCACTATTCTAGGGGAATTTAGATTGCACACCCTTTTTCACTTGTGCGTTTCAGGTGAACGACAGCACCACCAAAATCATTACTTCTTGGTGCCACCACCCAGCGCTCATGGCCTCGCAGAGACACTCTTCCGGTTAAACCACTCCAAAACGCCCAAGAATCCAGAAAGGCGAAAGCTTGCAGCAAACCTTTGATCAGCAGCAAATCTGGTCGACGAAAAAGGGATGCTGAAAGGGCTACAAACAGCAACGGTCGAAATTTTCGCCCAAGGGGAAAAAAACTCCGTCCTCCAGAGCCAAAAAGCCCGAGCAACCCGAGCTCTCACGGAACGAAAAAGACCCCGCAGGCGAAAAGCACCCCCAGAAACCACAATGGCCGGAAGCAGCCATCGCCGCAGAGGCCCCCTTGGAGCCTTGGACGCAGACTCAAACCTGGTGCGCAACTATTAAGTCTCTTAACCACCCTGGTCACTCAACTTTCGGCTCCTCACCCTCGGAGGAAGAAGAGGCAGT